TATATATATATATATATATATATATATATATATATATATATATGTGTGTGTGTGTAAAACAATTCTTCTGAAGATATCTTAAAACAATATTTTTTTATGTCTTAAATTGAGACGTAAAATGCCTTAAAGATATCATAAAGATGTTTTCCCGATTTTTTTAAGAGATCATAATGTTTTGTGTGAGTTAATAATTAGTAATTAATTTATATTAATTTATTTATTTATATATTTTGTACAGTTAAAGGTTGTCCGCCTTTTTTATTGGACAAGTCTGAAAACGTTTCGTCCAATGGAAGGATCTGTTTTCTATTGAGAAAATTTTCAATAAAAATTTTCCATTCATCAATTCGATCTCCTCTTAAACAAGGCGAATACGTTTATTTTTAACTCATAAAAGTAAAGCCACAAAAGTTACAAAACTCACAAAAAAGACGGACATCCTTCCTGTTTACGATTGTACATTGCTATTCCCCCACTCTCTGTAAACTTGTTCATCAGTTGGTTAATCGAGCGGCCAGCTGAAATTCTTACAAAATACGTAGAAGTAAAAAGATCCATAAAATGACACTTGCAATCCATCGAGTAGATGTGCAAAATAGCCCGAACACTCTCGTTTTGTTCTAACAAACAATAAATAACGCCAAAAGTAACGCGACAAAATCAGGAGGAAACGTAGGTTAAAATAGTATGTTGCGCATCATGTTAATTTTACAATAATTTATTGTTAGAGCAAAAGGAAAGCGTTCGAACTATTTTACAGATGTGATTTTACCGATCGACTGCGTCATTTTATGGATATATCTTTTTATTTTGACGTATTTTACATGAATTTTTATCGTGCATTTTCTCGTCATCAGGCGAGAGTTCCGCGACCAAGGGAGGAACCAACAGCTTTAACATTTAGTAAAATATTGAGACCGGTACAAGAGTACCGAAAACACGCTGACTGTCGGCTAATGGAAATCGACTGCCGGCTTTACTTTATCTTACATATTAGGTTGAAAGGTATAGGAGCTGTAGTATCAATCAATATCTAGTCAATATCGACCGATATACTCTGTCAATCGAATTCCTAATCAGTCTTCTACTTCGGTTGCGATCCATAGTGCTTAATCTCCGCTCTGGTGACGAGCTTACAGATCTCCATCTTGATCTCAGCTTGGACTTCCGCGGGTAATTTCGACACAGACTGCGCCATACTGTCGAAAAACAATTCGATAGTAGCTCTGGATTTGTTTTTCTTAGGAATACGTTTTTTATTGTGAGTCTCGTGAATTCCTTTTTTATCGTGAGTCCCGTGAGTCCCGTGAATCCCGTGTTTATCGTAGACATCTCCAGCATTACCGTTGGTGACAACACGATTCCGAGTCTGCACGGGCAAGCTCAAGGTAGGTGATATCTCCACAAACTTGTTTTTTGATTTGCTGATTTTGTCGCCACCTACGCAGGGTTTCGGTCGTATCGGACGATACTTTGGTACTAGATTCCGTCCTGCTGTAACCGAGTTGTACGAATGCAGCATAAACACCTGAGACTGCGCTTTGGCATCTGACGGTTGCTTGTTCACTTTGACTACAAGTGGCTTGGAAATGTTTGTCTCCAGAAAGTCGTTGACTTCCATATTGAAATCGAAATACTTCTCCGTAGTTTCTTCCGCGTCTTGATCAATCTGCTGCTCGATTTTGACGGCACACTCGTCAATCTTGAACACTTCATCAGAAGTTGCCTCGTTATTATCTTCCATCTCTTTCTGACTATTAGTAGAAGCCGAGTTTCATATTGAAATGGTCAAGCTTGTTTACTATTCTCTAACGCTGTAATAATAAGTAAATAAGTGTAATAACAACTTTACCTAAGTAAACTATCCTCTATTGAGAATCGCGAAAAATTACATTTGCATGTAAATATGTAGATATAGTATGAGTTAAGCCTAGGTTAGACGTTTATACATGTAATAATATGTGTATATGTAAATTGCAATACTCTATGCACATGTAGACAATGTAAACTTTTGAAAAGCTTTGCACAAAATGTCATCTATGTAGGCAATGAGTAATCCATGAATATTATTTAAAGAATATGTGGAAGTTGCTCAAAAGTTAATTACGCTGTAAAAACTGATGTTAAATTTAATATTTTATGTGTCCCAAATCATCCACTCTCATTTATGTGTAAATTTAACACAAAACAAATGTGTTAAAAAGTAACATGCATAATATGGAAAAAATTAAAACAAGAATTTAACACTTGAATACCGTTAGGAATCACAGTATTAAATTGACATGTGTAATGTTAAATTAACTAAAATAAAACGTTACTTTAACATTTGAGAGAAGTATTAATCTATTATTTTGATGAAATGAAAATATTGAATTGATATAATCTATCTTTGACATATTAAATATTCAATTTAACACAACCTGTGATTCCTAACGGTATTCAAGTGTTAAATTCTTGTTTTAATTTTTTCCATATTATACGTGTTACTTTTTAACACATTTGTTTTGTGTTAAATTTACACATAAATGAGAGTGGATGATTTGGGATGAAATGTGTTAAATTTAATACATCAGTTTTTACAGTGTAAGGGCTGATTGTTCCAATTTCTTGTTAAGCCACCTGATAAATCATATGTCTGTCTCTGTCCAATTTGGAAAAATCTTAAACTTTTCAGAGATTTCAAAACAAGATACTAACAAGGGGAGGAAAGTACTTCAAAATAACTTCATTTTCAAGTATGAGGAAATACTATCAGCAAGGTGCATTCGAATAAAAGCTCGCACACGTATCCAATTTCTTCTGAGATATTTTCATCGAACACTATCAGATAAAAATCGACGGGAGATCAGCCGTATCCTCTCCGTGTAAAAATAACAAATGCCTTTTGGTATACAGATAAAATTATCTATGGCAACCTGAAGAATCTTACGATTAAAGAAGAAATCAAAAAGTTTGGCAAGAAATCTCAAGGTCGACTAGAAAATCACCCAAATCCTTATTCAACTTTATATAAGAAAGTAGTCTTGTTCACAGATTAAAGAGAAAGCTGCTTTAAGGCTTATCTAATTAACTAATAATTAATAAATATCCTATGTATTATCCTATGTATTATCCTATATATTATGGAACATATATCCTCCAAATCAGGAACAATTAAATACAAATATTACTTAATGTCCATAAAAAGACAGATTATATTAAGTGATTAGATATTAAAAAAAGAAAGAATCTTGATGTACACTCTTTAAACATAGTTTCTTAAACAAATTGAAGTTCACAGAATTATCTGTTTATATTCTTCAAGCTTAAATCTACCAATCTGTCATTTGATAAGATAAAAATTTTATTAAATTTGTTATTATGATTTTGAAACATTACATTTATAATTAATAGTTTAAAAACAGATGTGGCAAATGTTTCATAATTTAATTGATGTATATGTTTTATTATAATTTTAATATAATATTCTATATAGTTCACATTGTCTACATGAAAAAGATTATATATGCATTATATAGACAATACGTAAACCAGGATTGGACTTTTATGCATAAATTATGATACTCTATATATATGTAAAACTATATATGAGATGTTATCTGTGTAGATAATGAGTAATCTATGAATGTTGTTTGAAGAATGTATAATTGGCTCTCAAGAATTAACTTAAAAAATATATTTTTAGTTAATCTTTATAGAATCCTGATGTACACTCATGAATGTTGTTTCCTGAACATGTCATAGGCACAGAATTTTGCGGTTACATATATTTTTATCTTTAGAGTTAATTCTACCAATCTCAATTTATCAAAATGCAATGAAAATTTCAGGCAATTTGTCATCTCTTACGTTTGTAATTAATACCCAAAGTGAATATGGTAATTGCCTTATAATTACTTTTTAAGTATATTTCAATATAATTTACAATATTCTACATAGTTTACATTGTCAGAAAAAAAACACCATGTATACGTCGCGCGGAAAATATGTAAATAATCTGCGTAGATCTTGAAATTTGCAGCAAATCTTAGAGCAACATATAGCGAAGAGGAATGCCGATATTACTTGTTGGCAAAAGAAAACTATATTTCGCCAAAATTAAAATTATATGCAATTTGCATACGTGGAATATACTTATTTTGCTAAGTAGTGCTCGTAATTTATTAAGCAGCTACTCACAAATATTATGCCGCCGAAACGTGCTGGTTAAGCATCATGATGCGAGACGATACATTGGGTGCGTTCGGGGAGCACGCTACCAACACTACCGCGTTCTTCTATCTTTATCGCTTCTTAGATATACAAGAAAGATAGAATGACACGGTAGCGCTAAATAGCGCTAATAGCGAGCTCCCCGAACACACCTATTAACGTAATATCCAACAAATGGGATAAACACGGCGAAAAGTGTAAAGCATATACTGTATACTTCTAACAAACTCACCGATTTGTTGATTCTTTTATGGATAATATGTATTATTGAATTTTTCTTTTATGCGGAAGCGCTTACTCGTCGATATGGCGTCAAGATTACCAACCTTTTGTTAAGTTTATGCTATTTAGCTGAACTTTCTGCACTGGGAATCGATGGTTAGGGGACAGTTTCCCGAAAAGTGAAGGGGATAATGTTGGTACCAAGAGAATCTCTACATAATATAATTTAAAGATCTGTTTTTTGTAACTGCACTGCTGAACTAATGCAAAAGGTTAGAGTAAGAAAACGTATACTTGCCTCATTTCAATGTATTGCACCAATTTAGCAGTGCAGTTACAAAGAACAGAATCTTTAAATTATATCGTGTAGAGATTTTCTTTGGTACCAACATTATCCCCTCCACTTTTCGGAAAACTGTCGCCTAACCGAAGTCGATTGTATATTAGGCTGAGTTCCCACTTAGGGGTGCGTTCAGATTCCTCATCCGGGTGCACTCTATTACTAGAAACACTATAGTATATGTGACATATACTATAGCACTTCTAGTGATAGAATACACCCGGGTGGGGAATCTGAACGCAGCCTAGCGCGTCACGCGTTGCATCGTCCAAGTTAAACCGATCAAATCGTTCCATTTTATTGCGTAATTTAAAGCTAGCCACACACACTTTTCGTAATGGCTCCTGCATAGGACGCGGTAATGCTTGCCGCACGGCGACAGCCAATCAGTATGTTGTTTTTCCGTAAGAGCTAGAAGGTTATTACGGAAAGCAGCATATTGATTGGCTGTCGCGCGAACTTCCGCCGCGCGGTAAGCATTACCGCATCGTGTGTGCAGAAGCCATTAGAGGCAGATAATAGGTTTGTTCAAATTGCTTGTACTATTCACACTTTTACATCTAATACCCGTTGCACATTAGTGTACCTCATACAATACAAATTTTCCAAAATACGTTCTGAAGACGCTTTTAGGACGGAGAGATGTCATCAGAATATTTTTAGGACGTCCTTTGAAGATGTGAGCTGTCTGAAAATAGCTAATATCCAATAAGTTTATTCGCATTAATTGAACTTTTTACACTTTCACACTTAGTGCACATTAATTCTTTAGGGGTTCTAAAAATGACATCATGAGTTCCGTTCGTGTTAAGCCCGTATCAAACTAAGGATTAAGATTGAGATTGAATTGAAAAATGGCCAATTAGAGCAAAGTTCACCAAATTTGAGCTTAGTGAATTTTGCTCTGATTGGCTAAATTTCAACTCAATCTCAATCCTAATCTGTAGTCTGATACGGGCTTTGCGAGTGTAATTGCAATTTTGATACACTTTTTACACTTGATCCCAAGCAAGAGTGAAAAGTGTATCAGAATTGCATTTACACTCGTAACACGAACGGAAAACATGACGCCATTTTTAGAACCTCTAAAGAATTAATGTGCACTAAGTGTGAAAGTGTAAAAAATTTAATTAATGTAAATAAACTTATTGGATATTAGATATTTTCAAACAATTCACACTTTCAAAGGACGTCCTAAGAATATTCTGATGACGTTCCTCCGTCCTGAAAACATCTTCAGAATGTATTTTTGAAAATTTGTGTTGTTTGGAGTGCACTAGTGTGCAACGGGCATTAGGTGTAAAAGTGTGAAAAATACAAGCAACTTGACAAACCTAATAGTAGGACACTTTCCGTCTCTATTTACTGAAGTCTGATTGGCTGCAGGAATTTCAGCAATACTGTATCCTGCGAAAGTCAGGCCCCAAGCTAGACGCGAGAGTATTATTTCACGCTACATCTCTATTACGTATTACGTTGCTCGAAAATATCATGTAATATAAAAGATAAAATGGTACATTTTTGTCAATTAACCAATTAATAAATACTACTGCATATATAATATCGAGTTGTATTTTTTTTCTATCTACCTATTTATATATGTATTCATACTTATTCTCATTTCAATACTAATGAAATGTTATTATGAATAAAATAGTAATATTTTTTAAATATTAAAAATGTTACACTAGACTAAAATCATAAGTAATTCTTTGAAACATTATTATAAATTATCAGTATGATTAAGGTTCTGTTACAATGCGCTACGTTCCTACTTGGAAAAGAGACGGAAGGTGTCCTACTATTGTCTGCCTCTCACTCTACACCTGTTCTTACCTCCTCACCTCATTTAGCAGGCCATTTTATATGTCGATGGCGCTACCTTTTGAGTATTGCGGGATGAGAGAGAGCATGCTTATAGGTCTCAATTGGGTGGGACCCGATTGACCACGATACGATTGGACAGAGATTGTAATGATTGGTTCAACCTAGTAATTCACTAAATAATTCTTTTCATCGGTTGGTTGTGTCCAATCGTACCGTGGTCAATCGGGACGCTCCCGTCTCAATTAATGCTCTGTCTTTGTCTAATACAGTCTGAACCAAAAGCTCGACTGATTTCTAAGCTTAATCTCCGAATTAGGAACCATCTTTGCTTTGTTTTTCTTAATAATAAGTCGATAAGTGAATACTAATAAATGAGAAAAAATATATATATTTTTTTATATCTTAAACTGTCGTTTATAAATCTTAAGTCATTGCCATTCAGTGGTCACTGCTTTTCATATTCTTTCTAACTTTTAGCTTGGATTATATCACATTCTCCCCACTCTCGACTATACTATATTATCAGACAAGGATAAGAGAGGAAACAAGGAACCTCTCTCTCATCCCGCATGCCTCAAGAGACAGCGCGCGTTCCAGGTATATATTTCAGTGGTCTTCTGTCAAATTCGCTTAGGTTGGGTTAGATTAGGTTAAGCAATTAAATTTTATAAGTATTCAAGGTTCAATGACTAATAAGTTTTTTTTAACATTTCTCGTCAAAATTTTATTCTGTAAATTTTATTCAGCTGTTTTGTTCTTTTTCTTCTACTCTTAAAGAGAATATTATATAAAATATATTATTATTGCAATAACACGCACAAGTTCATTGACGATATTTCCTTAGAGTGTCAGCATCACAATTTGAGGAAATATAATAGACAGTTTTTATGCAATGACCGAGAATATCAAGATAGTATTGTGCAGAGGTTTGCCCGAGAAGAATGACATGCAGAAGGCGTTAGAGTCTGCTGGTTACACTTGCGAATGCTTGCAAACTTTGCAATTCAAATTTGTAAATATTTCAGAATTACGGGCATGTCTGTTGAGAGCAGACGAATATAGTGGTAATATATCAAATGCATGTAAAATTCCACTAATATTTATCACGTATCTACATCTTGCAAATTCACATTATAGGTGTGATACTAACTAGTCCCCGTACAATCGAAGCTATTGCACTAGCAGTTAATGGAGACACAAGCATTCTGCAGCATTGGGAAAAGCTTCCTGCATACTGTGTGGGCCCTGCAACAGAATCTCTAGCTCAGAGTCGACTTAACTTGCAGCATTGCACTGGTAGTCAATCTGGCAATTCCAAACTGTTAGCTGAAACAATTATTCATGATATGAAAGATGATTCAAAACCACTGCTTTATCCACACAGTGAAATTGCACGTGAGACTATAGCTTCTGCTCTCCGTGATAATAGAATCTTAACACACAAACTTGTAGTTTACAAAACACTGGAAAGTGAGTCCTTAGGGCAAGATTTAGTAGAGATATTGAAAAGGTCTCCTAGCATCTTTGTTTTCTTCAGTCCATCTACGGTGGAACATATTGCTATACAACTTCACAAGAATTCTTTCCCCATCAAAGACATAAAAGCAGCAGCTATAGGTCCTGTGACGAAAGATGCAATGATCAACTTTGGTTTCAATGTCTATGCTGTAGCAGATAAGCCTGAACCAGCAGCTTTAACGCGTGCAATTATAGCAGCTGGGTCTGCAAGAAACTCTGAAAAGGATACGTGAAAATGTATTGATATTAATAACCATCGTAATGTCTATTTTGCTATTTTTATAACACGTGTATTTAAATTTATTATACATAGTATTAAAAAAAGGGTTCAAGATTTAGATAGTACTTATACTGAGTAAAAAATGTTTAGTAGACAGATAAAAAAATCAATGCATTTAGAGTTTTAAATTTTTTTTTATTTTGATAATGCAAGTTATTTATGCTTCTATTGATCACGTGTGATGAATGAACGAACGAATATCTTACCATATTGTTACTTTTATATTTACATATTTATCTGACTCACTATATTTATCTCACCTAATTTATTGCTCTAATTTATTGCACCTGGTTCAGAAAATTCAGCTAGAAAGAACAGACCTTATGTTGCCTTATTCTACCTCGTTCGTACTGCGCGTGATCACAATGGAAGCACATTTGAACTAATTTGGAACTAATTTGCATTACCAAAATCCAATCACATTAATCTATTAAACAGCTCTGAGATTAACAGTAAAAAAAATGTACAAAAAAAGACTAATAAGAGCTGAACGCAGGGATATGCGCAATATATGTATTAATAAATTTTTGGTGTTATACACATTATTATAGTTGCTTCTTGGGCTACAGGCCGATTATTCCAACCTCTTGCTACCTGACAGTTAAATTATATATGTCTTCGTTTATTAAATATTCGTTACTCAGTATAATGAATCTACCCGATAGAGAGAGATAAATACAGTCTTAAATCCTTTTTTTTAATATCCTGAAGAAAAATTGAAAGGAGGAGAAATTATCCTTCATACAATACAATATACACTTGATTGTTAATCAATGATAATCAATGACAATGTAAATAATGTATATATCTGCACATGTACAAGATATATAGCAAAATTATAAAAACCAATGTATATATAAATATACAGATCTTGTAACACTTTTGACTTGATTCGTAATTTTTGTCATCACATTTTCATTCGCAATATAAATACCCTGTAGATAACATGCGATATCTTTTGCAGTATGACGAAATGCTTGCGAATTTGTGCATTCATCACACACATACACACACTCGATAATCTTGATAATTAGTAGCTGCAATGTCTTATTTCGTATCATCAAACATTAACTAATATATATATATTACATAAATACATCACAATATGTGTTAACAAAAAAAATACAAATCTCTTGATGACATCAAATAATTTCATCAAAATATCAAATTTCATCCAAAAAATCTCATCAAATTCAGTACCTGCTATGATTCACAACATTACCAAGAAGGCACGAGATGTCGGAGCCGACAATCGCAGATTGATTCGCGTAATAAGGCTGTGGTGGGTTTCCACCATTCTTGTACTTCATTTGTACCGCAGTTTCGTAGTCGGGCGCCGGTCTGTAAGACGGTAACAACGCGCGTAAATTATTGATATCTGTCGACGAGACTGACACAACAGCAGGATACGGTGACGTCGAGAGATCGTTATAACTTGTCCATCGCGTGTGATTGTCTACAGCCCGATTGTCCAAGTTTACGCACATCGCTTGCTCGCTGGAATCGTTTGTGTCATTATCCTGAAATTATATAAACTCATTAAGTATTATAAATTGACACACACATACATATCTAGACAAATTGTCTTAGCCAGCTAGAAATGATTAGTCAAAACGATGCTATTTCGATGTCGTTATGTTAAAAGTTGTTTATGTATTTGAAAAAATAAACAATACAGTGAAAAAATCTAATATTTGAAGATATATCAAACTTTATACAAGATCTGTCCAGAGAATATTCGACTTTATGATATGAAGAGAAAGAACTATTCTGAACCAATGGCAATTGTCCCCTTCAAAATACTCTTTTTTGGAAGTTATAACTTTCACTGTGTTGCTTCCACTTCCTGAAGTAGTCCTGGAATTTAACTTTTGGAATACTCAACAGCTGTGAAGAATTTTGTGTTTAATTGGACCTAATTTACATACACATGAGATATGGAATACTTTGCATCAAAAACCCTATAGATCTGATGTAAATCTGATTGTCCAGACATCAATAAAATGCTGATCCAATCTTTGAATAAAAACCTTAAGAATATAAGATTATATAAAACATACGTATAAATATTATATTACGTATAAATATTAAAATATTGAAAATATATTAAAATCTCATTAAACTTCTATATACGCAATTTTTTACTGGAAAATACCGAAATTGCTGAAGATGCAAAAACGCTAATTTCGAGTGAACAATTCCGATGTTAACGACGTTTTGACGAATCGTTTCTGGCTTAGTTCCACAAAGTTACGCACGAAGTAGCCATTGGATCTTTCTAATGGACGGCGTTCTTGATACTGCATGTAAAATGTATGTTGCGCTATACATAATCGCCATATATACTTTGCATCACGCGACTCGGTAAACAGAAATTGTTTCGCTTCTTCACCTTCCAATTGGCATTCTATTCTAAATGTCTTCTTGTGATTTATGACATTGCTGATGTCTCTCCATCTATAAAACACATAATTGTCCATTTACTTCAAACAACAATATTTTTGGCATATAATCACACACACACAAATAAAGTAACCTGTAAATTTGTGTAGTTTGTGTGCTAGGATAGACTACCATGATTCCATTGACGGAGATTCCAAGAATAACTTTATTATTACTGCTATCCTGAAACATGTATATATAGCTTGGTTATAATATTTGAAGTGATTGAATGAAACATGGAATGATTGAATGTATTTGAAGTATTTTATTACCTTGGCAGTAAATGTTTCATTGCCGTATCCTTCTAGTTGCATAACAGACGAGATGTACAGTTCTTCCGCAGTGCTTTGTGCAACATTAGTAAGACTTTTGTATTGACATATTGCTGTATGTAAAAGAGCATCTTGCCCACCTGGTTCTGCTTTAATTACATCCTAAACAAATAAGAATCATGTAACATTTTCCAATTGGACTAATCTAATGATAAAAATCAATGTTACATTTGCAAAGAAGATACACTGCTTGAAATAATCAATTGTGTGTTTCTCTGTGCTATAATCCCCAAATTCAGCTTGCATAGAATAACCCACTAACAAACAAGCTTGTCTGGAGTTACAATGTATCTTTTCCTCTAAAATATCATTCTTTAACTGAAGATAATAATGAAGCCTGAAAAAGCAAGTAAAAAAATATAAAATTATACTACAATTACAGTTATATGCACAGTGAAATATAATATATAATTTATATTTATATATAAATATATACATATAAAGTTACAATTGAAATCTTGAAATATATTTAAAGATTTCTACTTCTCAAGTTATTTCTGCATACCTTGTTATGTCATCCTGAATGAATTGGATATCTGTGATATAATGCATAACTCTTAAATAAAGTGTAAAACTCTTGGCATCTTTTTCCAGTTGTTTCTTCAAGGGTTTGTCCATGTCTATCCATCGCAGAGATGATTTACCATGGCAGATGGTACATATGTAGCATAGGCCAAAGAATTCTGGTTGGCCTAATCCTATACGCTGTGTCACATTGTTTAAGCATTCCTGTCCACTACTGTCAATACTAAGTGTGCATTCTATAGATGAGCTATCCAGTAGCTCGACACAGATCACATACTGATTCTTGGACACAACATTGTACTGCCTACTCTTCTTCAAGTGAAACTTGAATGGCATTTTAACAACCCTGAGAAACTGAAAAGAAAACAGATATAATATATTCAGGCGACTTAATGCGAGATACGAACCATACTGTGATTTATAGGTTAAGATGCCACACGACGTTTACAAATATACCAAACATCACTGCTCGTTACAGCAGTGTAATGTTACAGCCCCATTTTGTGTAATATAGCGTCGCAACGAGTTAAAATAACGATACCTCTCGTTTTTCTCTCGCCACGCATATGCAAATTCCCCTCGGTGTCTTAAAATATCGACCACTCACTCGCCACTTTCTTGCGTGAGCATCATTCGACTGCGGACATACGCACCGAGTAAACGCATATATTTTGACAGCTATTATTTGATAAGTCGTTATCAACACTCATATCAATCAAAATCGCGAGTACTCGAGCCTGTCTCGACTGATTCTCGCTCGCGCTACCGCGGGCAAACGCCGATACGGTCTCTGGCATCGCCGGACGGGGTATCGATGCCGAACTATCGAGACACACCGAGAAGAGGAAAGTATCGAGAATCTTTAGTGTCGGGTGGGCATCTCTCTGTGGCACAGCTGGCTGCGGCAGGCAGTTTGAACGCGATGACGGCCGCTATGCGCACCGATTTGACAGGTCGCTGTCAATAATGAAAAAAAGGATCATTGCTCGACGTCCGCACGCGCTCGCGCCCGCCCGCTCACGCCTACCGAATGCTGATAACAGGCCGCAGTAGATCCGAATAGATCCGAATAGATCCCCGTGCTGGATCGCCGCTCCGTGTCACATGTTCCACGCGCGAGTAAAATGAGCATTCTGCGAAAGAGGTAAAGCAGCCGAATTTGCGACGAGCCGATAAGACGGTCGCTCTCTCGTCGCTGATAACGGGGAATATGTTTGCAGATTGAACGAGTTCGACGATGTTCTCAATACGGACGAGATAGACGTGGTCAGCCTCAGTAAAATATGTTTTCATGGTGTGTGTGCTTGCTGTACAATTTGCTGTTCATTTTGTCCCTTCATCAGTCGATCGCGATGATTTTAACGTTTTATTCGTGATTCCGCCTCATTTTCTTCCGATAAACTGCTTTATCTCTCTTCCTCTTAGGTATACCAGATGAGGGTGGTCTGAGGCCTTTATGTTGGAAGCTGTTGCTCAACTATCTACCACCAACCAGATCCAGTTGGTCGGAGACTCTGAACCGCAAAAGGGAATTGTATAATACATTTATTGGTAAGAGAATGAGATCATTTGTAATGCAGACTTGTGCCGTAGATTTCGAGATTACACTTATGTGGATTGTTTCCATATTGTCTGTGTATTTAGTCTTCCTTCATGTAGACAATGTAAACTATGTAGAATATTGTCAATTATATTAAAATATATAAAAAAGAAGTCATTATAAATCATGAGATAGTTACTGTATCCACTTTGGATATTAATTATTAAATGTGAAAGGTAACAAATTGCATGAAATTTTCATTTCATTATGTGACAGATTGATAGGGCCAATTCTGAAGGTAAGAATATTACTGCAGAATTCTGTGGATTCTAACATTGTTTAGGAAATTATATTCATAAATTAATATAACAATTCTAAAGATTAAGTAAGAATATAAACTTTTATTGATTTTGTAGCAAGCCATACATATTCTTTAAATGACATCTATGGATTACTCATACATTGTCTACATAGGTGATCTTATACATAGTTTACACTGTCTACACATAGATACAGAGTATCTCATGATGAATGTAAAAACATCCAACCCTGATATAATGTAATCAGTATCTTTAAGACAATAAGACAAAGATATTCAAATGTTTGCAACATAGATATGACTTTTGTGTGCCTGCTTGTTGCAGAAGATCTCATTGTTATGCCTGGAGAATCAAATACAGATGACAAAGAAAGAGTCGATGTGACATTGCACGACCATCCTCTCAACTTAAACCCAGATAGTAAGTGGCAAACGTACTTTAAGGATAACGAGGTTTTGCTTCAAATTGACAAAGATGTTAGGTAAGTGTCGCATTGTGTTGACTGTGAGTTTAAGCAGCAAGAATCAGAAATAAATTACTTAGGTAGACAGAGATGTTGAGCATATCATGCAAAATATTAAATTTATATCTTGTGATGCTATTCTAACAATATAATATCCTTGAAACATGTTTATTTTACAAAATATGTATTGATTATGCCATAATTTTACTCAAAATATTTAGTTTTCAGTTCTACAATAATCCCGGATTAATTATGTTTCCTTTCTGACAAAATAAGTATTTTTCATAAAATCAGAATATTGCTGATTATTACAATTCTCAAGGCACCGAATAATCAAACTTCATTTATGACAAAATTTTTGTTGTATAACATCTTTATATATTTGCACAATATGCCCAAAAATTGTCTATCTGGATTAGAGTAAAGAGTAAGAGAAGTAACGTTGAACTTTCAATGCACAGGCGACTGTGTCCAGACATATCATTCTTTCAACAAGGCACTGACTATCCTTGTCAGAAAATAGTGAGCGCTAATGGCCAGCAACGTTTACACCATCGAGTTCAACATACAGTACTGAAAAGCGCGAATGTTGAGAGGAAGGGATTGGGAGTGACCAAGGTAATGAACTACGAGCGATCAAAGATCACTCCCCGCTCTTATTAATTTCTTATTCAATTTATTAACTTGATTTTGTTTACCTCTGTCCTTGTGTTGACGTGGAAAGCAGCAGGTATTATAAACGATGCAAGTGGAGTAATAAGTCCTACTAAGCTAGCATTCTCTGAAAAGTCGTTTTTATTCTATTTTTATATCTTGCACGTTGTAAACAGAGTGTGTATGCGCGAGGTAGTTCCATGACATTCTGCGGATATGTCCCGTCACATCGTGTTACATCCGCACTTCATCTTTTAGATAGCGGTCTCTGTCAGAAAGGCCACCGAAGATTACGCGCCATTGGCCGAGGGTGGTGAGGCGCATTGGGAAGTCTTGGAGAGAATACTCTTCTTATACGCCAAGTTAAATCCTGGCCAAGGCTACGTGCAGGGTATGAACGAGATAGTCGGACCTATATATCACGCGTTCGCTTGCGATCCGGACCAGGCGTGGAGAGGTGCGTGTTACGATGCAAAGATAAAAAAAACCAAAAATTGTATTATACGATGTTTACCGGTGAGAGCGACTCGTATTCTTGCTCTTTTCAGAACACGCCGAGGCTGATACCTTCTTCTGTTTTACTAATCTAATGGCCGAGATACGCGATTTCTTCATAAAGACACTGGATGAAGCTGAATTTGGTATCAACTCGATGATGACCAAATTGACCAATCAAGTCAAGACCAACGATCCCGAGATTTGGATGCGTTTGCATCAGCAGGAACTGTGCCCGCAATATTATAGCTTCAGGTATCGCATGTCGATGGTTATCGTCGTTAATACATTGATTGCTTTGTATTATACAAAGTGTATTTTGCATTTCGCTAAATATTATGCAATACTATATCTATTTACATACAGCTTTCAGAAACTAGTAACACTAGTATCAAACATGTTTTCTTAACATGAGAACATAATTTCGCAAAAATAAAAAAAGAAATTTGGCACCATTCTAAATTTTTTCGAAAATTATCAGTCAACGTGTTAAGGACTGCGTTCGCTGTGAACGTTTTCGCGCTGGAAGCATCATTTTTTATCTTTGTATTAAGTAATCAGAATAGCATGATCTTATCAACATGAAAACACCCAAAGCGAGCGCAACCGTAATCATCCCGCTCGTGTAATTGTTGTAATCATTATTATCTTCTCGCTTGTAACAAGATGGCTGACGCTCCTTCTCTCGCAAGAGTTTCCATTGCCAGATGTTATGAGAATATGGGACTCTTTGTTCGCTGACGAGGACAGATTCAGCTTCCTCATACATATCTGCTGTGCCATGATCTTGTGAGTAAGATATGCCGTGTCTACGACGCCGATGCCTTTCTGTCGTTCTCTCTCAGCACGTGTGCTCTGTTTTCAGACTACTGAGGGACCAGTTGCTGGCTGGCGATTTTGCCACAAATGTTAAACTTTTGCAGGTGAGAGCCACGAATGTGCTTCATTATGATAATTTGCGTGCTACAACAACGTGTGTGCACATGCAATCGAACTGTTTGTTTTTTTTTCTTTCTTTTTGAACGAAAATGATTGAGAGATGTCGCGACAATGCATTCCAGAATTTCCCGTCGATGGATATCCAAATCGTGCTCTCTAAGGCCGCTGCCCTGGCGGGCAAGATCTTATAGTTTTCCTAATGGCAGCAAAGTGATTTCCCTGAAGTGTTGAGATCATGATTTTCTTCCTACGCTGGCAGGCGGTATATCACGAATCGCATCGTTCGCGCAAGAAGAGACTCGATATATGTAACATAATGTCAATCGCGCATTACCGGCGACTCGATAGAAGATAAGAAATTTGCATTTGTGTTATATCAAACGCGTAGCAATTATTGCAATAACTCCGACCCAACCACACACCCAACACACACACACACACACACACATACACACCTAAGCAGCTCAGACTCGTCATGTACCTCGCGGTAAGACGAGCAAATATTATTAAGATCTGTATGCAGCATTTGTTGCCACGTGTCAAACTTTTTGATATATTCAAAATGTTGTATTTGTACATACATAAATTTTAAATCGGAAAGTAACATACTCATACACGGGGCTGAAGGTTTTTGAAATGCGAATTTACAAGAGGTGAGTGAATTCATCGCGCGATTTCTTCAACGGCAGGTAATGACTGCGGTAAGGCTAGATTATTCGGCTCGAACAGGGAGGACGATTTCAGTAAAATCGTCCCGATCATCCTGTCATGACGACATGGATTGCGCAATAATCATATCGCAATAGATCTAATATTGTTTATATACACGCGAATGACGCAATAACGCCGTATAACGTGTAGAAATAAAAATCTATTACATTTTGTAATCTTATTTTTGTAATAAAAACGCGTCGTTCGTAACTCACGTTTATACACAAAATAAAGGAAAAAAAATGTTATCAGCTCCGTCACAGCGCTTTATCTTTTCTTTTTTTTTTTTTTTACTGCGTTATCCACCACCTTGTTCCACCAGGAACGTCTATGCAATTAGATTAACGCGCAAACGATCGACGACGGAACGACCATGACGGGTTGCAGCCTCGAAGTAGAAGGATGCGAAATCGAATAGGCGCTCTTCATTCCACCCGCGGAGAACGTTCTGGCGCGACGATCATTATTGGATTAATAAAGCCGCCGCGTTCCCGAGCAGAATAAACCGAATTTCTGGATTTTATTTCATCCCGTCTCACTCGACAGAGAGTAGAATGATTGACCCGGATGACGGCGGGAATATTAATCAGGATACCGTTTCAGTTATTCGCGCCGCGGCGAACGTCTCTGTCGAGCTGCGCGATGCGATGAATACATACTGGGAATGATTATCAAAGACCGACGGATCGGAAAAAAAAAATTGCGCGCGTGTCTGTCGGGATCGCGAAATAACGCGTTGCTCGTTTCGCCGTCACCGTTATAGATTATCTTTTGCGCGATAAACGATTCTTAATGACGATATTTTCTTTTCCTAGTTACAGTAACACGATTTCGTTTTTTGCTCATGATGAGGAATATAATCATTATTTTCAGCGTTACTTTGCGCTAAAACGTAAAAGACATGTACATGGAATAAGCATCGGGGAATCGTAAAAAGAGGAGGACAAGTCTTCAAAACTTGATGAAAAATGTCTAAGAACGGAGAGTTTAATATAAATGATAATATGAATTATGCCGACTCATTTTATACCTTTTGGATAACGACAATGATGAATTGTTTTTTAAAATGAGTAACGTTAATTGTTTTTTTGGCACAAGTAATGGGTGTGTGTGTGTGTAATGAATAAATAAGCCACAGTTATTTCTAAAAAGTACTCAATCCTATTCCAAAATATTCCATAGATTTCTTCACTTGGGATTTCATTGGAAAATCAAAATGACAAATCGTTCGAATTTAAGTGATATTTCATCATAAAGAGTGAGTTCTTCACTCACTCTTCATCAAAATCAAACTCTCCACTCTATAAATTTTCTGGAGTGAAAAGTGGCGGTATCTTCACTCGAGGCGACACACTGTGGTGTGGATCGCAAAAAAGATGGCCAAAAATAGAAAGAGATTTTAGATTTAAACGAAAATATGACCAAAAATAGAAAGAGATTTTAGATTTAAACGAAAATATGTATATAAAAGTTTTCGAGGTCGCTGATTACGAATTTGGTATGATAATATTAAAATTCAAAATGGCGAATCCAATATGGCCAAACAATTGTTCGAAATTTCATCTAAATTGATGTATAAGGATATTCAAAGTTGCTAATTATGATTACAAGATTACAATTGTGAAATTAAGAATAGCGTATGTGATTTGATTGATTTTTATTTCCAAAATTTTCACAGAGTAATTATTGTGCGATAGACAACTAAATTTTATTATGCAATAAATACATCGACTTTACAAAATTAGTCTTCAAAGTCAAAATCAGAATCATGATTATCAGAAATTTCTAAAGAATTGTCAGGGAAAATTAAAAGCTCTAAGGCTTATAAGCATTTTTACTTTTTATTTATTTTTAATTGCAAAAATGTATGAAAATTCAACGATATATTAAAATAAGCATATGCATATATCCCCGGTATATGCATTCAAATTGTCTTATATGTTAAAATAAGACACCTGATATATACATTTAAATTATTTTATTGAAAAATCAGATCTTTATTATTGATCTTTCAAGAGCAGATAGTCCCCAAACGTGCTTGTGTATCGAGCCTAATCGTACAACTGGCTCGGCGCCGCTGTATTCAAAATGGCCTCACAATGATAGGGGCAGTGATGGGCAAACTTTTCTTCAAAATTTCATTACAAAACATCTTAACTTTTATGCTCCATGTAACAATTTCGCAGCTCTCTGCGGCGTGATAACTTTATCGATGATTTACGGTGAAAGTTTTTATAAGAGAAGCAATAGTGCAGGCATGTCTTTGACATGATTTTTAATACACGCTGAATATGCATTTATGAAACATAATATATACGAATGTTCTATATATCTTTGTTGATATTCTCCATCAAGCAGAATTAAGAAAAGACACTCCAATAAAAAGTTATACGCACTTGAAAAACTTAAATATTTTGGACGCGCGAAGCGAGACTGACTAAGCTCCGAGAGCTGTCACTTCGTACTGAGAGAAAAATGCATGATACTTGGAACTATAATGACATAGTAAAAAAATTATAGTTAGGAATATTATTTTTATAGTAAATTTCAGCATAATGTTTGTAATATTTACAATATAAGCATAGTATAACTGACCTATGTAAAACTTTTACCAAAAATTATAATCATTTGAAATAAAAAATATAATAAGGTTGCAAATATTGAATGGTAAGAGAAATTAAGTATTTTATATAATCAATACAATTGGAATATTTGGAAAATATAGGTACTTGTAACTATATTTCCAAAGCGTGCTTTACTATATACATAGAGTAATAAGATGATGTTCTGCTATATCTTTATGTTTAGATGAACTATAAATATATGTTTGAGGCCAAAACGAACTATAAAATATAGTTAAATATAAAATATAAAATAGAGATTATAGTTATTCCAACTATTTTTTTTCTCTCGAAACAACATAGCATCGTAGATATTAAAGAATCCCTACTTTCCCTTTGGAATAACATGAAGTAATACTCTCTTTACAAGATTCTATGATACTCATAATTATGAAAACTCATAATTATGACTTTCATTTTTTGCATTTTTAGCCATCTTTTTTGAAATCTAGACCACTGCGACAGTGAAAATACTGCCACTCGTAATCGCAAGAGTGAATATTCCGCTCAAGATCAGAGCGAATTCTGACTATATACGGGCGGATGTTTCAGTGTACACTGAGAGAAAAAAAATAGTTGGAATAACTATAATCTCACTATATTTTATAGTTTGTTTTGGCCTTAAACATATATTTATAGTTCATCTAAACATATAGTAAAATGAACACAGATTTATAGTCACCATCTTATTACTCTATATATATGGTAAAGCACCTTTTGGGAATAGTTACATGTACCTATATTTGCCAATTGTATTGACTATATAAAATAGTTAATTTCTCTTACCATTCAATATTTGCTACCTTACTACATTTTTTATTTCAAATAATTATAATTCTTGGTAAAAATTTTACACGAGTCAGTTATACTATGCTTATATCATAAATAGTACAAATAATTATGGTAACATTTACTATAAAAATTATATTCCTAACTATAATCTTTTTACTATGCCATTATAGTTCCAAATATCATGCATTTTTCTCTCAGTGTAGATTCATTTTCAATTTAATGCGAAAATATTCATTTAATGCGTCTCTGCGTATAAATGGAGCAGAAATAGAATGTTACGTGGGCCACAGCGGGTCCGCCACGACCTCGGCGATCTCCTTTATCACCGACGGCCACCGACGTGTTTTGTCGAGGCGAGCAAGGGGCCCACGGACCTCGGTGTGGCGAATCGCTGTCGTATCTCGAGATTTTGAGGATAGGCGCGCGCGCGCGCACCGCTCGAATACCGGGTATAAAAATTGTGCAAGGTTCCGCAGAAAGAGAGAGAGAGAGAGAGAGAGAGAGAGAGAGACGCGTGTGGGTGGACTTTTATAGCGGCTGATTACCTGATTTATAATCTCAGTTCGCGGGCTCGTCCTCGGTTCGGCTCGGCCGGGCCCGATCAGGAGGACCGCGGAAGATCGTCGCGTTCACTGTGAAGTCCAACATTTTTCACTCGACCCGGAGACTCGAATTACAGCAAGCGGTTAAAATCGCGGGCTGAGATGTAGTCGATTACGAAGAGCGGTATACTGCTTCTTAGGTAGGGATGTGCGATTTTGCGATAAATCGCAAGCACTGCAATTTTCTTGAATCGCATACGGAGAAAAATAATTTTGCTCTTTTAGCAAACGTATATTGTATTTGTGTTGAAATAGATCCGTGTAGAAATTTGTGTGCTAAATTATTAACACACAATTTATTCGTATATTAATTTAACGTACTGTCGTGGTGTTATTTCGACTATTTTGCGTTAAGTTCCTAAAAACTCACGCTATTTCTGAGTTAAATATGCGAATTCTTACCGACGTATTTTGTATCCAGAGATCTTTGCACGTACATAACGAAAACGACTACACGGAAAAAAATAATTTAGCTCTTTTAGCAAAATCATCGTTGCTACTGCATATTCGTAATGACATCAGACAAATTTAGTTGACGTAACTAATTTTACAAATTATTCGTTATCAGAGCAGAAATAATTTCGTTGCTAGGATAGAAAAAATTTGTTGGATATATTTGCCTTAAGAATCACATTAATTTGCTCTTGATGCAAAA